AAAAAGGACACAAATGAACCACTTATTATTTATAACTTAGATGACTGATTTCTTGAATATGTGTAAGCATATTTGACTGTCATTTACGATTGGATTACTGCATTCAGTTGATTCTTATTTTGTGGTTGGCTTTATTCCTTTGATAACTATGTACGTTTAAAAAGCTAGAGCTCTAAACTGTTCTTAGAAACAGTGAAGAGCTCATATACGTAAATTAATATGTGCAGTATATTGCATGTATGTTTTTACATACAATATATTGTATATGTGCACTCTAATTGTATCCATTTTATCTAATAAAACTGAAAAATAATTAAAAAAAAGACAAGAGCCCTGCATGCCTGGGCTTATGTGCTAGTGGAAGGCGAGAGACCTTATCCAAGTAAATAAAAGAACAGATCATTTCGAGGGGCTCTATACAGATAGTAAAGAGGGTGATATGATTATGGGGTGTGACTAGGTGGGGGAGATAACTGTGGGAAGGGAGACTATTTTATTTGGATCTTTGGGTCCCTTAGACAAAATGACATGCAATTTGAGATACAATGACAAGAAGAGTTCAGTCATGGGGAGGGGCCAGTTCTAAGGCCATGAGACAGCAATGAACTTGGCTTTATTTCTGATCCTTCAACACCGCAGCTGGATAAAGGATGGAGAGCCAGGCAGACAGGGGCCGGCAGTGAGGCGGGAAGGGCAGCCGGCAGCCGGGCCTTGCAGAGCCTATTCCACCACCAGTGGAGGTGCCCAGAGGCTGAAAGCATCCAACTAGAGGGCAAATCTCCCTCCCCTGGAGTTGGTAGCACTTTTAGACCCCTCCGTTGGCATTACGTGAACACTGTCTCTTATAGTAATGAATAATTCTTTTGCCCAAACATCAAATATTCTGTAAATTTTCCTCCGTGCATGGCACTGCAGGGAAAACCAAGGGGAGGCAGGCCCCCTTCGCTCGTGAGGAATAACACTCATTAGAGGAGGCAAAAATGGGAAAAGATAATTTCAATGAAAAATAGAAGGTGGTAAGGATATATTTACAATTTACAGAGTAGTAAGCACTGGTTGTGGTCCCAGGCACTGTACCCGTATTATCTTAATCTCCATGACAACTGTACAAGGTAGGGGACACCAGCGCCATTTTACAGATAAGAACATCCAATGCTCAGAGAGGAGACTTGTCCACGGCCACACCAAAGATCTGTGGTGAGATTGGGACTTACACCTTGGTAGGTCTGGCTTTCAAGTGGGTGCTCTTAAACTCTGTTGCACCAAGCACTATATAAGAGACGAAGCACTCTGGCGATTTATGGAAGAGCAACCACTTCTAGCCATCTAGAAATGCGTGCCCCTCAGAGCTCCCCTACCTGATTTTAGGTAGCCCCATTAGATGCCCTGGCTCTGGGATTCATAGCTCTTTGCCTGCTTTTCTGTAGAAGCTGCAGGATGAAAGACCTACAGGGCGTGAGCTGGGCCATCTACATGCCTGTAGCTGGGCCAAGGGCGATGCAATAGGGAATGGCAGGGACTGTGACCAACTGCAGAACACAGCACAATACATCCCTCAAAGGGATCGGCTACCATGGAGCTCCAGCAATTTGTGGCTGTTCAGGAATGGAGATCCAGTTTTCCAGATCCTCTATATTTTCAAGAGAAACCAGAAATCTAGATTTGTATGTGATCCTGCTAAATCTCCCAAGTTCCAAATCTAGGCAAATAATGCAAACTTTAAAAAGATACCTTGAAAGCAAATTTATAATGTTCAAAGGTTATTTTATGAGTTGCAGGTGACCAATTATATAGCCAATGAAAAGCAAGTCAGATTTCTGCCCCAGCAAAATTGTCCAGGTTGTGGGTCTTTGTGGTCAGGATAGTTGATTTTGAAAAATTTGAGAACCACCAACATTAATGATCTTCTAAAAAGACATAGAAAAGACAGAAGCAGGGTTGACGCCTTTCATCTACTAAACAAGGGATCTGTTCTTACCTTCTTGGCGACGCACAGTGTTCGAAGGCCATCTCTCGCATACAAGTCCAGGTGCTTCTGGGTCCGGGCTCGGATTTTCCTCACCTTCCTTTCCATGTCAGTGTCAGCTGCTGTCAAACAGTCATCGTGCCCCGTGAAGTCACATACAGATGCTAAAGACATCCTCATTCCTAATATTCTGGAGTCTTTAGAGGAGGGATTCCCTGACAGCCCACCCCAGAGACAGGGAGGAGCTCTCCCAGGTTGTCCTGGAAGGTGATCACTTCACGCATCCTTAAATTATCTGCTCTCTCAATCTGATCATCAAAAGTCTGTCTGAGAGAGGGTACTGTTTAAGGAAGGCAGGTGGTTTTAGGTATTGTTGCTAAACATCTGTTTGCATCAGAATCACCCGGGAACTTAAACAAATACTAGACATCTCCAGGTCCAGTTGCAGACCTGCTGAATCAGGGGACCGGAAATCTGCATCTTTGTCATTACCTATGGAGTTTTCCACGGGGTCAGGTTAGTCCTGGATGACCAGCTGTTCACTAAATCTTGAACATGCTTATCTGCTCCCTTCTGTGTCATCTGCTTCAGTCCCTAGAGCAAGTTTGCCCCCAAGATCGCGACAGACTCAAACTTCATTGCTAAGGCCTGTACCATACTGGGTTTGCTGAGTTAGGCTTACAAAAAATATTTTTTGGCTTCCTACAAATCTAGTGTGAAAAATATTTCATTGCGTTGCTCAAATGAGTCCCCTTTTTTGAAGTCCTACATAATATGTTTCTCTTAGAAGAAATTTGTCTTCTTTTCTTGAAATTCCAGTACTTTCATCTGTCAGATAAAAAGAATTTTTGAGCCTGGGTTCGTGGTTATGGGGCAGGATGGATGTGATCACCACTTCCTTTATCTGACATGTCACAGACATCACTACACAGTGGCAGCACTTTGTAAATCTGAGCTTGGAAAAAGCTTCAGAACCCTTCTTTACCAGGGCTGGACTGAGATCTTTAGAAGCCAAAAGTAGGGAAAAGATCTTGTGTACCTTGCCCATCCCTCCATATAATGCAAAATTAAAAACACAATTCTTAACAGTAAGATAAGTATAAGGAAGTTCAACAAAGCTCTGATTTTCCCCATGATACTATTGTAAGGCTGCTTTTATGCACTATAAAGATCCCTTCAAAGATTATTTTCTCATTTTTCAGTGCTACTGGTTTCCTGGTACCTTAAGCACAGTCTTTGTGCTTTGTCTTTTTGAGCACTATCTACAATATTTTATTTTCAATGATATCAGCTCCTGAGATTAAACATATTTTGCCTTCTACCTGTTTGAGTTTACCTTTTTGCTTGGGCTACCAGGAAACTCAGGGTCAAACAGAATGTTCAAATGCTGTAAATACATTAAACCTGAGGTTGTTTTGTTCCCCTCCTTTTCAAAGCTTTGCTTCTCAAATCTTATAGGAACATTGCTTATGTTATCTTTTACTGGAGCCATCTCTAATCCATTTTGGAATCAGGTGAGGAACAAACATCTCCAGGGTAGCTCAGATGGCTGTTGCCAGGGATAGAATGCTGTGGCTCCCTTGACTCAGAAACACTGAATTCACTTGTCTGCCAGAGTTTGGGGATGAAGAGACCTAATTAGCTCCCTTCCCATTCTAAACAGTCATCAATCCCCATGAACCTCTTGGCTCTGATCCACAGCTGACAATGCAGGAGTCACGGGGCTGCCCGGGCAATTCTACAGCTTGGCTAGAATCTACTGTCCTGGGAGAATCACCGCCCATAACTGTCCTCTCCTTGTTAGCAGTCCGGAAGCGGCTGCACACCAATTCACGCTGCTCCAGAATTGGACACTGATATGTAGGGACTTTGGAACATTTTTCTGGCTTGGAGCAAGTTTATGAAAATCCATTTTAGGGGAGGCTGGGGAGATGGATGATAAAGAGGAACACCTGAGGCTTCCCAGAGTGAACTGAGTCTGACGCCGAGTTCTAGGGGCAGGGAGAGCGTTCTGAGCCGGGGTTCGGGGTACCTGGGCCCAGGATTGACCATGAGTTCCCTGTGCCACTTCCTTCAGGTCACCCCCCTCTTTGGGTTAGTTGGCTTCTCTCCCAAACTAAGATTTTGGACCACAGTGTGTTTGATGGTGTGTTAATGGATGCGCTGGTGGAAAAAAAAAGTTCTGTATGGATAATTCAGATTTAAATGAGTTTAGAAAACTAGAAACTGGGATAAATAAAGAGGTTCCTCTATGACAAGACTGCCCCAAGTCTTTAATAGCTAACAGCCCGCTCTGTAATTCTCCAGGTTGAGGAGATGTCGAAAGCGGCATGTTTTAAGGATGATGCTTTGAGGAGAGCGTCTTGTGGGTCTGTGTTCCAGCTGCGACCGGCTGGATGGAGTGATGCTAAAAATCCAGCCCCTCATTACCATTCTAGGCCACCTCTTAAACTATGGGGCCCTCTCCTTCCAGAGCCCGGTGGGGTGGACTCACCGCGGGCCGGGTCTTCCAGCAGGTCCATGATAACGGAGTCGGCACCCTTGGTGTAGACGATGATCTCACGGGTCAGTGGGTGCCTCACCACCACGGACATTCTTTTCCTGACAGAGTCAAAATCCAGGGTGCAGAGGACATCGAAGGTAAGGCAGGTGCCCTGGGGCAAGCGCACGGTCACCTGCTCTGGTGTCCGGGACACCAGTGTGAAGCTGTAGGCGTGGGCAGCGTGCACCAGGGCGGCCTCGTCGGGGCTCTCGGCCTCATAGCAGAGCTCAGGGCCGGCCAGGCCCGGGGCTGCTGCCCCTAGCCCCGCCTCCAGGCAAGCGTCCGGCCCCACCCCTGGGATGTCACCCTGCTCCCACGTGCTGCTCTTAGAGCCACCGTCCGTGGAGTAGCCTCCACTGCACACAGATGCATCATCTCTCTCCTCTGAGTCTGTGGTGGGCACGTGGGTCCCCAGGCTCTCCCCCAGGCCCACGTCGGAGGGCGCGGTGGATGAGAATGACTGGCTGAGGCTCGACAGCTTCAGCCTGTGGAACAGTAGTTGAATCTTCTCCAGGGATGTCCCCAGGGCCTTGGTCGAGGGCGGCAGGGTGACCTGGTGGTCAAAGGAGGGAAGCAGAACATTACCCTCCATGGTGTAAAAAATACCAAGCTGCCCTGTGGCAGAATAGAGAGATTGTTTTGCAACCAGAGATGGTGGGCAAGTCTTCTCCCCTCTCTGGACCTCAGTTTAACCACCTGTAACACAACGGGAGTAGGCCATTTGTTTCCTTCCAGCCCTGGCATTCTAGGGATCGGCAATGCTCACCTTCCGCTATCTTACGACCATCCCGCTCTGATCACGGACAAAGGAAAGAAAAGGAGACAAAAGCCAGACTCACAGTAGGACTTCCCATCCCCTGCACCCTTACCATCACCTTGTCTGTTTATTTCTGCCCACGGCACAGCTCACTTCATCCTTCCAGCACCTCCAGGGGATACTGTCATCACCCCAATTTATGGTGGAGGAGACGGAGGCGTGAAGAGGTTAGGCTGACCGTGATCACCCCGAGTGGAGGTGGTAGGGCTGGGACTCATATCTGGGAGACTGGGCTCTCGGGCTGCTCACCAACCAAAGCCTCCTCATTAACTTGGAAACTGAGAATGGGATGCTGTCCTTCCCCAAATGGTGCTTCTTTCCCTCTTGAAAATAGGGTGCATTCCTCAGTTAACGCTTCACGCCTCCCAAAGCTCCCTGAGGACTTCTGGTCACTTCGTGATTTTTCAGTGGTTGAACTGACTCTTTGGGGTGGGTGAGAATCTGGGTGTAATACTAGGAGCCTCTGGTTTGGTACCTGAGTGAACCCTCTTTTTCTTGATTTCATAGCCCCAAGTTGTACCACCTGATTATTCTTATTAGTCACTTACAAGGGAGCTTGGGTGAGAATTTGTGCATATAAGTGGAAGATGAATCTACTTTCAGTACTGAAAGTTAATTCAAAGTATAACCTCCTATAAATGGCCATCCAGCTGCATTATCTCCAAATTGGCAGAACTTCACACATGGTATTAATTGTTTTTTAAAGCCTCCATTAAAAAGCAGATACCAGCATACCATGATAACATCACAGAATCATCCGGATGGTTCTGTTGTGTATTAACCATACGTCCTTCACTAAGTTACTCAAGCTCTCTGAATCACTGTTTCTCCACTTGTTAAATCCAAGGCCATACCTCACAGGGTTGCTGGGCTGCGAGGATTAAATGACACAGCAGGTGACGCATTTGGCATGGAGCCTGGTGCACAGCAGCAAGTGCTCAGTAAATGTTAACTTTTAACATCTACCCTGCAGACAGATAGACCCAAGGTTTGAAAGCTACACGGAGAACTCACATGTAACATTTTTCCATTTTATTTTAAAAATGGGGGAACTGGGGCCCAGGAAGGACAAATGCTCTGTTCCAGGTCTCAGAGTGAGGAAATGGCGACTGTGGGGCTAGGCTGGGACCTAAGTGTCGTGTCTCCCTGTGCAGGGCTTCACCCCTCCGCCCCACCCCTCCTCCCACCCATCCCAGCTCCACCATCACCGGTCCTCACCCTCTGCCGGGGCTCGGTGGTCGTGGAGACCATGACAGAGTTGCAGATGGTTAAGGCAAGGAAGAAGTCAGCAACGGAGGAGGCGGTGGAGAGGGAAGGCTTGGCGGGCCTGGTGTCTGACAAGCTCTCCAGCCACAGGGCTGCGTCCTGCACCTTGGTCAGTAGATTTTTATCTGGAGTCACATCTTTTTCCTGGGAGATAAAGGTATGGGTCAGAGTCTGTTTTCGATTTAGGGGAGGAAGGACCCCCCCCTCCCCCAGTAGATTCTCTCATTCCCAGGAAAGGCCACGCGGTCCTTGCTGCGTCTGGTCCTGCATCCGGTCCATCTCCCCTCCTGCAGGCCTGCTCACTGCAGATTCTTACTGGATTCCTCCCTTTCCCTCACCGCCACATGCCCATCAGTTGTAAGCTCTGGTAGCTCTTCCCCCACAAAGTTTCCGCACTGGTTACCCCTCCTTCCTGATGCTTCCAGTCTGGTCCAGCCTGGCCCTCCATCCCTCAGTCCTGGATTTCTGCCGCAGCCTCTTCCTCTTTTCCTGCCTTTCAGCTCTTTCCTTTCTAACCATCCTAGGGATCACCCATACATCTTCCTCCAACCTCATCTCCCTGAGCATATTCTCAAGCGTGAAAAGCCTTCGGGAGGCCTTCACTGCTAGCACAGTCATTTCAGTAGGCAATTCAATTTCTCCCCAGTTTGCATCTCCACCCCTTATCCCCACCACTCTGCCACATGGACCCTCAGCTCAGCCGGGTGGTCTGTTTGTTGCCTCCTGGGAGATGTATCCCTCTCCTGTGCCTTGGATCACCCCCTGTTTGAAAAAGTCCTCTCCTGTCTGCCAAGATCCTACCCTGACTTCAATAACCATGAAAACGTCTACATGTCTGTAAGATCCTAACCAGCCCACGATGAGTTCTCCTACTTCTGAGCCACAATAGCATGTCCTTGAACTCAGAATGTTCACAGGAGTCAGGCAGGTAAGGTGAATGAGGGAAATCACCCAAGGTATGGAAGAGGACACCACGGAATGGCAGGGGCTGTAAGATCTGGCAAATCCTACCCCATCTGAAAGGTGACAACTGCTCTGCTAGTGAGATGCTTCAGGGAGAGTGCACGTTACCAAATCTCTGGAGAGTTCAAGATAAAGTAGAGATGATATGAGAACTGTCTTTTTTTTTTAATTTGTGAGCTGCCAATGTTCCTAGCAGCACTATTTACTATTTAGTCAAGACATGGAAACAACCTAAATGTCCATCAGCAGATGACTGGATAAAGAAGCTGTGGTAAAGTTATACAATGGAATACTACTCAGCCATGAAAAAGAATACAGTAATGCCATTTGCAGCAACATGGACGGACCTGGAGATCATCATTCTAAGTGAAGTCAGCCAGAAAGAGAAAAGAAAAATACCACATGATATCACTCATATGAGGAATCCCCCCCCCCAAAGACAAACAAACTAATTTACAAATCAGAAACAGACTCACAGATGTAGAAAACAAACTTATGGTTACTGGGGTTGTGGAGGAGGGAGTGGGAAGGGATAAATTGGGAGCTTGAGATTTGCAGACACTAATATATACAAAACAGATAAATAACACGTTCATACTGTATAGCACAGGGAACTATATTCAATATCTTGTAGTAACCTACAGTGAAAAAGAATATGAAAATGAATACATGTATGTTCATGTATGACTAAAGCATTGTGCTGTGCACCAGAAACTGATACACTGTAAACTGACCCCACTTCAATAGAAATGTATATACAAATGAAAAAACACTGTGGGCTGGATCTGACTCCTGGGTTTCCAACTTTTCATGTCACTGTAGAAGTCCCCACTTCCACCACCCCTCTAGAAGTCACTACACATTGACCTATATTTTAAATTTTCTCACGTCCATGTTTAGTCTCTCTAGAGATAAACCAAGAACCTCAAAGACAGAGGCTGCCTTCTCCAGGAAGTTGTAATTTCTGGAGCTCCAGCTGCTGGCGTGTTTGAAGCAGAAGTTCAACACACACCGGCTCCTCCTAGATATGGCAAAAGCCATTCTGCAAAGAAGTTTTCACATAGAACCGTTTCTATCAATGTTCAGAGTTCACAGGTTAATTGAAGTTTAGAAGAAAGAGAGTCAATGATTGAGAAAGACGGGCTGGGGGGGAGCCTGATTGCTTTGTGCAGGGTAAAGACTGAGGGCTGATGAGCTAGAAAGTTGTACAAACAAGAGCCCACGCTGAGACTGAAAATACCCCTGCGGGTAGAGTCCTCAGAGTGTGTCTTCTTTGACTCCCAAATGCAGCGACTCCAAAGGACAGATTCTATCCTCCCTGGGGCTGCTGGCACAGGCGAGAGCCACAGGGGAGGACACCCAGACAGACGTGGAGGTGCTGGATGGCTGGAGGGACGAGGGTCAGGCTTTCCAACAGCCCAGGAAGCTTGAGGGACATGGACTGGAGCTGAGGTGGAGCACACACTCTTCCAAGGGTCCCAGCCTTCCTTTGGAGGGCTCTCCCAGAGCCAACACCTACACTGTCATCTAGTTCATACCATCTTAAGAGCACAAAGTCCAGAAAAAATTCTGTTTATTAAAAGGAAGAGTGTGGCGTGGGGTATAGCTCAGTGTGTAGAGCTCATGCTCAGCATGCATGAGGTCCTGGGTTCAACCCCCAGTACCTCTATTAAAAATAAATGAATAAATAAATAAATGAATAAATAAGTAGACCTAACTACTTCCCTCCTCAAAAAAA